TCTACTAGCTAGACGACCCAACCGGGGTCACATAGGAGGGGGGGGTTGGACCCCCTCCTGCGGTTCATGCCTGAGGTATTTTTATCGCGAGAAGGGTACAGCAATCCCTTCCCTCGCGACTTACGAAGTCGATTATGGTTTACTAACAAACGAGCTTTGCAGCGCGTCGCTTTCATCCTAGACCAGGATTTATTTAGTGAGAAAAAAACTCTCCCTGCCGGGACTCGAACCCATGACCTGGCCCTTAGCAGGCTGCGAGGCTACCCACTAGACCACCGGGGCTACCGGTGTGTGTGTTGCTGGAGTTAGCATCGACTCCTACGCCCCACGAATTTTTCGTTGATGTGTTGGTCCAGATTGTGGTGGGTACGGTGCGAAAGTGGTCTCAACACCCCCCTTACAGCTGCTACAGCTGCTGGCATGTGTTGCTGGACAACCTGCGGGGAGCGGCGCTTGCGTCCGTAGTCCCCCAGCTCTAACCAACCCCTTAATGATGTGTGAACTCCCTTATTGATCGACGTGAACGGGAAGCACCGTGAACAGGAAGCAGCTCTTTCTTCCTCCTTTAGCCCCGGCCCTCCCTCCCAACGTGTAAAATGTTCCCTTTTTGCTCATTGTGAACTCCCTGTTTATCGACGTGAACGGGAAGCAGCGTGAACAGGAAGCAGCTTTTCCTTCCTCCTTAGCCCCCCCTCCTCCCCCCCCCCAACGTGTAAGATAACGCCTTTTTGCTCGTTGTGAACGCCCTGTAGATCGACATGAACGGGAAGCGCAACCCATGGGAGGCAGTCAACGTGCTCCCTTTTATCGACGCCTACCGCCTGCGAGCGGCCGTGAAGGAGCTGTGCCCCCCCACGGCACTGTCGCCCCAGGAGGCGGAGAGAAACACAAGGGGACAGGTGAGAAGCGTCCCCAACCCCCAACCCCCCCCCAAACAAAAAAAAGGCATGTTCTTTCAAAAAAAAAAAAAAAGTATAAATTTGAAGCATGTTTTGTGGTCCACCTTTGGCGAAGTAGTAGCGAAGGATTTACCACCGGTGACTGATCGTATGGGAACCATGCGAAGACGCGTGGTCAATGGTCTAACCGCTAAGGCATGCCAACCGTGAGTACCCCCCCTCCCCCCGGCAACGGAACATGCAACTTCCGGTGTCTGGGGCTTTTTTCTTTTGTTAGGGAAAGTTTCGTGTCATCGTAGCACTTGCCAGCACACAAGTATGTCCGTGTGTCTCGCAGCTGCGTCACCCCCGCCCCCCCCCCGCTGTAGGGACGGAAACGGACACCAGGGTATGGGTGAAACCGATGCCCCCCCCCAAACAAAAACTTGTTTTTGGCTTGATGTATTGATGATCCGCGTCGGTGGTCTTGTCGATGTTTGGAGTCCCGTTTGTCGTCACAATGCGCTTGACGCTCGATACCGTATATGACACAAGATAAAACACCCCCTGGACCAATTTTCAAACTCGATTATTCCACGACGAAGAAGATGTATAAACGAAACGATACATTTTCGAAAAGCTCTCGACGAGACAACTTCAACTCCACCGTTTTCCGCGCTGTAACTCTTTCTGCCGTCGAGAAATCGATATTTGAAAATCGGTCTCGGGGGTGTGTGTTATCTTGTGTCATATACGGTATGTATTGTCGCCGTTGGGGTTATTTCCCCGCAGAGAAAAAAGATTCGAACCTCAAAGTGAAACTTTCTCACGGGGTATGGGGAGTTTTTCAGGGCGTCCCATTCGCATATCCGATCCGTGGAACACCCGCATTTTTGCGGTTATCCGCCTTCTCTGGTGTCCCGGTTCGCAGATATATCCGCTTCGAATCCCGCGTGGTCATTTCTCATTTTTATTATGTTTATTGTAAGGTTGTGGAGTACTTCCACGACCCTTCAGTGAGCCGGAAAGAGATGTCCTGCAACCCGGAGATTGGGCTGGCGGATATTCCCCAGTGCACGGCATCATCGAGGTGCGTAACCGTAGAGTGCAATGCAGAGGAGTGGAATACGCACGTCACACAAGATAACACCCCCCCGTTCCGGTGAGAACCCGGCGTGCTCCGTCCCGGCTTTGTAGGGATGCGAGGTCAATGGTCTAACGACTACGGCATGCACGACTATGAGTACCCCCCCCCCCCNCTGCCGTAAATGACACAAGATAACACACCCCCTGGACCGATTTTCAAATCTCGATTTCTCGACAGCAGCAAGAGTTACAGCGCGCAAAACGGTGGAGTTGAAGCTCTCTCGTCTATAGCTTTCCGAAAATGTATCGTTTCGTTTATGCATCCTCTTCGTTGTCGCATAATCGAGCTTTGAAAATCGGTCCAGGGGGTGTGTTATCCTGTGTCATATACGGTATGGTTGTACGTCCTACAAGGTTCAAGGATGAACCAGAAGCTGGTCATGGTTCTTGCGTTTGCTGTGCCAACCAGATATGCCATGGGTTGAAAATGCCGTGGGGTACGGTAGTCTTGGGTGGAGCGGCTTGTTGCGTCTCGTTGGCTGCGGCTTGTTGCGCTTCGTCTGCGTGGCCCGTTGATTCCGCCGCACGAGCGTATCCTTTAAATGTGTTATTGGGGCTGCTTCCTTTTCATTCTGGCTGACCCCTTGCCTTGTCTTCCTGTTGTTATTGTTGCCGTTTCAGCACTACTGCTGTGCATGCATTTAATTTTTTTTCTCGGCCTTTTCCAAATTTCTTCGGTTGTTTTCGCGTCTTGTTTTTTCTGTTCATTTCCTTTGATATCGTGCCTCACGTTATGTACCGTACATGACACAGGATAACACACCCCCTGGACCAATTTTCAAAGCTCGATTACTCCACGACGAAGAGGATGTGTAAACGAAACCATACATTTTTGGAAAGCTCTCGACGAGACGGTTCCAATGCCGCCGTTTTCGGTGCCGTGACTCTTTCTGCTGTTGAGAAATCGAGATTTGAAAAAAATCGGTCCAGGGGGTTTGTTGTCTTGTGTCATTTACGGTATGTATTTCTTGACAGCATTTCCGCCATTCTACTGGTTTTTCGATACTTTCTTTCGTCAATCGCGATTGGGTGCCTTTTTTTTCTTTGCTTCCCTTAGGATTGTGCCATTCTCCATCGAGCCAGGGGAGTGCTTCCGGCCGGAGCTTCCTCACGACGCCATTATCCCGTCCGCGGGTTTTCCCAGCCTGCACGTGCTTACCGTCGGTTCCGTGGAAGAGCGAAAGGTTCCGGTAAACTGCTTCGGAACGGCGTCCAGGTACAATGCCCTTTCGTAACCACAGCGTAGCAGTTGCGAAAACTCTACGATGTAGAATTATAGATCCTGTACTTCGAAGCAAGTATTTTTTCCTGCGAGTGATCACGTCTCAATCAGAACCCCGAATAAATTCAGTACATCAAGACGGTTCGATGCATGCGTAGGGGACCAATTTGTCGCCACTCGTGTATGCCAACATTTTTGTTACTGCTTGTTGTCAACATCATGAGGTACGAGACGCTGTTGTCTCTCAAGAGCTGAAGGATAAAACCACGCAAATCCCTGTCTGTACAACTTGGTTTTCCGCTGTTTGTGTCAACATGGATCAGGTACGCGACGCTAGTCCTAGCGCTGAAGCGCCCCCCGGTGCTGCCCCCGGCGTCTGCGCTGGCGGGGAAGGTTCTGGGTAGGTCGGCGTACCTCAACTGGCCTCTCATGCACGAGGCTCAGGTGGTCGGCATCAGCGATGAAAAAGAGGTTTGTACAGCAGCGGCAGCAGTAGCAGCCGATTGATATACATAGCCCCGTTTGCATACGTAGTATACCACCCCCCCCTGGACCGATGGTTTGAAAAACTCGATTTCTCTACTCAGCGATGGTGCCGAGAATGGAGGGGTTGGAACACGGTATGAAACGCCTTGTGGAAACGTCTTGTGTCCCGTTTCACTGTTTGGGTACGGTTGGTCTGTGACCACGGAAGGCGTCAGGTGGGCCTGTACGGGTGTTTAGCAGACGATGCTGGGCAGAGACTGGTACGGTTAGTGTTGTGAAGTCGAGAACAACGGAAACGGTCAATGACAGCAGAGAAGCGACAACGACAAACAACGACCACAACGACAACAACAATCAACCTACTGAGTGGAGACCGGGACGTTTATTCGTGTGAAGACGACAACAACAAGCAAGAACTAATCGACCGTTGTGCCTGCAGGAGTACCTGCTGGAGGAAGTCAAGGGCGGGGGGGGCAAGAAGCTCAAGACGAGGGTAAAGGTTAACACCTTCACCGACGAGGCGGCGGGCCGCTGGCGCCTAAAGGCCGCAGAAGAGCAAGTGAGTTGTCGTTGTTTTTGTCTTGACGTTAACAACCGTTCCGTTCTCTCTGCCCAGTACCTTCTTGTGTCCGTACTAGTCTTAGCACTTGACGGCACAGGCTAACTTACCCAAAAAAAGGTGGACGAAAATAAAAAGAACCCGAAGGGTCTGCAAGCCAACAGATGTCAACGACAGATAGTCTAGGCCACTCCGCTCGCCTCTACACGCTTATGCGTGTACGACTGGAAAGAGGAAACGTCCTCACCTGCTGTCCTTACCCCTTCCTGGGTCATGTCTACCTGCGACTCCATGCGTTTTTCATGTATCGATAAGAATTGTTGCACTGCTGTACTGCTATAACCAGAACAACGGCATGTTGCTGTGTGTGAACTACGTGATTTGATCTATTTTTATTGTATTTTTGTTGTGAGGATTACACTGCGTATTGTGTGCGTAGCAGCAACCTGTGAATTCCCTGTATGGTCTCTTCGGACAGCAGTGCTTGCTGTGGCAGGCCTTCTCTCTCTGGTAGACTCAACAACAGAGGGGAAAGGCTTCTCCATGCAGGGAGCGGCCGTGAAGTCACCGTCACATTCAGATAGAGGGAGTTGCAGCATCCGTCACAACGAGTTGAAGCTCGAAAACGATCAGGGTGCCTACTGTACATCGTACCCAACAGTATCGTGTCCTGCATGTATCTCACTCTCTTGCTACTCGCTATCCAAGCCTGTCCCCTCCGCCGTCCCCTACACACCACTCCTTTGCTTGTGCAAACTCGAAAACGAAGAGGGTGCCTACACCATGTATACCTTATCGTGTCCTGCATGTCTCGCCCCTCTTGCTACCCTAGCGTGTACCTCCTTCACTCTCCGGCTTAGCCCACATCCGCCCTTCGCTTGTGAAAACTCGAAAACGAAAAATATAAATTCGAAGCTCGCCTTCACCTTGTTTTGCCGCTCCTGGTACCTTATCCTGTCCTGCACACCTCCTTCGCGTTCCGCCTTACCCCACGTATTTACCCCTTATTTGTGAAAGCTCGCAACCGAAAAGAGTGCCTGTATCATACCTCATCGTGTCCTACACATGTGTAGTGTGTTCCTCCTTCGCTCTCCGCCTTACCCCACATACCCCTTTCTTCTGGAAAACTCGAAACCGAAAGGGTGCCTACACTATACCTTATCGTGTCCTACATATCTCGCCCCTCTTGCTACCCTAGCGCGTGCCTCCGCCTTACCCCACATATCCCTTTGATGTGAAAAACTCGAAACTGAACAGGGGGCGTACATCACCGGAAGAGGCGTGCCGGGCAGCGGGGGCGTCGACATCGGCAAGGTTCAGCTCATGCTCAAGGCGCGTCCCCTCCAAGGCATGAGGGTCGACCCGGCCACAGGCGCGAGACGCAAGGTCAGTCAGCCCGCACTATTTGTTTTGCTTTTTGGACTACCTTCACTAAAAAAAAGTACACAAGTATATGGCATTTACTACGAAAATGTGAAATATACCAGACAGGGGGCACGCAGACCCTAGCCCTAACGCCAACTTAGCCGATCCTATGCTTTCCAGAATGCGTACTTGAGAAAACTTGCGTAGGCTACTGTCTTTTTTTTTTTCCTACGATACAAGAGAGGGCTGGGCAAGCTTTCTTCTCTCGTACAGCAGCCAGCTGTGGGCTGGTCCTGCTGCCAGGTGGCACATTTTTTCATCTTGCGTCGCCCCTTTTGATGACGCTGCATCAGTACCCCGTTCGCGTCATCTATGTCTACTTCCACGCATGACTTAGCACATGCCTCGCAAACTTGGCCAGCCAAAGCGGTGGGGCCGTACTCACGTGGGCTTGTCAATAAAACACTTTCTATGTTAATGCATCAGGTGTTTGGTAAAGAAGAGGCGGAGGTGCCGGTGCACATGGTGCTATGGTCGTGCCCATCTGAAGACCCTCGTTTCGTGGAGAGGGAGAAGGTCACTCTCGAAGAACGTTTTCCGCTCGGTAGTCGGTGAGATTTTTTTTCTTGTTTTTTTGAGAGGTTGATGTTTTTGCTGTTGCTGTTATTGTTGTTGTTACTGCTGCTGTTGCTGCTGTTGTTGTTGTTGTTGTTACTGTTGTTGATGATGTTGTTGCTGTCGATGTTGGGTCGTTGTAAAAACCGCGCCGTACTCTCTATTCAGTACCTCCTCACTGAAGGCTTTGCCCCCGTTATTAGTGCCTACCCTTTCGCTTCGTCCTTTTTTTTTACTTTCTTTCCCTGTGTTTTCCGTTTTTGTTAGTTGTAGCGGGGAATTGAACCCGGGGTATCTTGCACCTATAGTCAGACAAATCCTCGTCGACGCCGAATGTGAAAAGAGTTGGGGGGCCTTTTCAATCGTTACCTCCACCTGTTCTTTCTTGTTCGTGTGTGTCTGCTCTCGATTCATTTTTTTTCTTCTTAATTTTACACAACAAATACATCCCTGCCCTTTTTGTCGCCAGTGAGCCTTGTTCGGGTGCTGATTATCGTCATTTCCTTCACACGTCTTTTTTCCTTTCTTTTTTTTCTTTCCTTTTGTCCCATTTATTTTTCATTTTTTTCAGCGTCACTTGCCTCCATGGAGGAAATGGCCACGGGTGCGTGGGAGAGGTCGTCGCTCACAATGGGAAGGTAAGCCAATCAAATATCCTTCCCATTGTGTGACAAATGCCCTTGACCCTATTGCATAAGCGCCCCCCCTTATTCCGGAATATGAGAGTACCCAACTTACTGTATACAGGCGGGTCGAGTCCGTGGCATCCGATTCGACCCTCTTATATGGAAGCCCCCACTTATGAGGTACCCTCTGATATGGGAGCCACGTATTTTATGTCTTGGTATCTATTGTTGCTGCCGCTGCTATCCTGTACCGTGTACAGCAAGGTACCATATATGACGCAAGATAACACACCCCCTGGACCAATTTTGAAAGCTAGACTTCTCCACGACGAAGAGGATGCATAAACGAGACGATACATTTTCGAAAAACTCCCGACGAGACGGTTTCAACGCCGCCGTTTTCGGCGCTGTGACTGTTCCTGCAGTTGAGAAATCGAGCTTCGAAAATCGGTCCA